CACATCCCATTTTCAGCACTTTTTTTCATAAACATGCAACTCACTATAAAATACAAAACACTTGGCTTTCAAGAACAGCTTTATAAAGACACACTGCATCAATAAAATTTTTCTTTCTGATTAACTTTACACTGTTATGGAGAACTGGAATTTTTCTAATGTGTATATATCAGATTTTATATTATAGTGTAATAATTTGCATTTTCTGAACATAATGTTCAAGAGGAAATATCTATACACAATAACATTCTAGACTATTAAAAACTCATTCAAATTACAGAATTTTATTGATACAGTAGATTAATAAAAACTGAAAAGGGATGATGAAATGGGATAAAGAATTCAGTACATTATTTTATAACACACTCTTTAAAATTAGAATATTTTAAATCTCTTTCTTCTTAAAATTTTCATTGCCATAACAGGCCAGAAAATTCTGGGACCAATACTGAGGTGTAAAGTAATCCAACAACTTCAGGACTATTTCACAATTTGCATGATGTACTCTTATCAGAGGCATTGTTCTGGTGTAATGGCAGACAATTTAGCACCTCTGAAGATTAAGGGTGCCCAGAAGTAAACACTAGGTAAGATACACAAGGGAAAGAGAACATTTAATTCTCCAACAAATAGTGACATCAAGAAAATGACACCAATTGTTGAAAAAATTTTTTTCACAGTAAAATTGCAAAGAATACAAATACAAACACTGACAGATTACTGCTTAAGATCTATTCTAACAAACTCTTTTCAAATCAATAGATCCAATAAACAGTTGGGTACTGTCAGTTTAAAGCCGCAGATAAAAGCTATACAAGCACTTTAGAAGTCAGAAACATTAAAAAAAGAAAAAAGATATTTACAAGTTTCTTCTTTAGTTTATGTCTACATAGCCATCGCACATTACACCTTCACAAGACTCCATAGTCAATGTTATCATGCGTATGGCTAAAGCATGTGACCACAAAATACACAGGGTCATCAAAGTAAGGTCCAACTGTCCACTCTTCAGCAGTCCCATTTTGTGCATCAAAGGCTTTATTCAGCCTCAGGCTTGACAAAAAATTAGTTTTTCCGAAGCTTTCAGAAAGTTCTTAATTACATTTGTTCATCGCCTTTCCCTTTTAGAACTTCTCCGTCGTACCTGAAAAGTCACCAGATGCTTAATTTATAAGACATAACAGTAATTATTTTAAACAATCTTTATTCTCACTTGTTCCTGATTTTCTTTGCTTTCCTTTCCCTGAAACCTTTCTCCTTTTATAATAACTTTCCGCCCTGGCGGAAATACATAGTTATTCTATGTATTTAGAATGCTAAAATATCTGAACTCTTACATGCCTATAAATAGCCTTTCCCAGAACAGTAAAAGAGAAAATTATTTTACTTCTCTATCGAATAATTTTAAGGAAAATGAACAAAAGTCAATGACCACAGCAAGAAAAACAATTGCAAACAGATTAATCATTTTTCTACTTACGTTTCTGTGGTAAAAGAAAACATTTGACATTTATGAACTTACACTTATAGCTGTGTTTCTGGGAAAGTAGTTGCTGAGTTTGGATTTTAACAACTACCAAATACACATAAATAACCTAAAAGTCAAACATACTATCATTTATTGGCAATCATTTATCAGCACTGAACTTTAGTTGAAAAAAGGTCAGCATTAACAGAAAAAGAACAGGGTTTTAATTCAATTAATTTACTGTGTAGTTTTTCTCTGATGAAGACATCAATCACTAAAGACTCTTCCAGCCTTATTTTTATATCCTCCAAAAAGTCTTTAAGAAACAAGCCAAGGTAATTTTAGACCACAATTCAGCACATTTTCCTTTGTTTTGACTCACTCATTCACATAAATGAATCTTGGTGCAGATAGTGCTTATCACATTAAATAGAACAGAGTGGCAGAGACCAACTTTGGAAACTGATCATAGAACTCCTGTTTCTTAAACAAAGAGGGCTGGCTGAGCTGATCCAAAAATTAGTATGTCAAGATCAGCATTAGTGTATCAAGAGAACAGCACTTACTTAAATGTGTTAATTACATTTTTTCCAAAGAGAAATATCTGAGACATATTAACCTGCAAAGCCATTCATTACTTTAAAAATAGGTCTCTCAAGAAGCACCACATCCCTACTTTTGCAAAGAAGTATCTATTACCAATTTTATGAATTCTCATTTAGCTTGCACTTCAATTCCAAAGGCTGATTTTAGTTAATATGTTATTTTATTCCGTGTAACTAACTTATAGTTTCTATTGTGAAACTCAAACTGAAACATCAATCAGAAAGTTAATAAAATATAAACAATAGTACACTTAAAGGATATCAGTGTCCTAACGTCAAGGTACAGCTTAAATGCTTAAAGTGTAAATATTAGAATGATACTGTACTTCTCTACATTCAATATAGACTTGACATTTACACTTTCACTAAGCTACATCTGTTATTTTCACTAAGTTTCAGGTTTTCATAAAAGACATTATCTCCATTCTCCAAGATGGTAGATGAAATGACACTACAAAACTAATGAAGAAAAATATATAAATACTTAAAATTGTAAGACACAGAAAGTGCTAAATGTATCAGACCTTTATCAACTCTATTTTTATAACCCATACTACATCACATGACTCTTTAACAAACACATACATTTACTGTAGAAACTTCCTCTTCTTCTGTTTCTTCCTGTGGAATATCATCATTGACAGGAGAACTTCCCTGAAACACATCTACTTCTTCGCTTGAATCATTCTCTTTAGTAGCTACTTGTTTGGAGCGTCCTACACGGCTAGAGTAAAACACATATAAAACAAAATGAACATTCCAATCTTTAAGTAGACTACCTCATTAGAAAAAAAGCTTCAAGTATTTCATGAATTCTCTTATCAATTTTATCCTAAACCATTTCATGAGATCAGAATTTTTTTTTATATTTGGAACCCTAAACTAGTGTTTAATCACAGAATCTTACCTACAAAGACCCACCTACTAACAAAAATAAATGTGACTGAGACTGTATCATAAAGAATTTCAAAACATAACCCAATATGTGCTCTTCCTTTCATCCTTCCTAACTCAGTAAAGGGTGTCTATGTCCACTGAGCAGAATTTCTGCTTTGAGCAGAAAACAGTATATCAGTCTTATCTGACCTTATGGATTTGACTTATAGACATCTCAAATCCATTCAATTTTCTCCACACCTCCATTGCTACCACCTAATTCAAACCATTTCCATCTTGACTCTTCTCTTTACAGAGTAATCTTTTACAAATACAAGAACAAAAACAGATGATGTCACTCCCTCTACATAGATCCCCACTGAACTAAGAATTTTGTAAATTTCCTTAACATAGTATACAAGGACCTGCAGATGGTCCTTGCCTACCTGTTGGTTCTCACCTCTCTCTGCTCCCCAGCTCCCCACAACTACAATCCAGCAAACCCCTGCCTTCCTTCAGCTCTCTGATTTTGCCAAGATTTTTCGCATTTCAGACACTTCAAATACAGTGTTCTCTCCATCTGGAATGTTTCTCTCCCTACTCCCTGCCAGTCTATCCTCAAGTAATCTGCCTACTATTCTCAAGTAATCAACTCATTGTCACTTTCCAAAGAGAGAATACTTGCCCAACTCCCCAGTCCTCTCCTTACATTCTCTTATTGCACCCTAAATTTTTCCTTCAGGGCACACATCACAATTCATAATCCCATATTTATATGTGATTAATGACTGCATACCCATTAGATGGTAAGGTCCATAAGAACCATGTCTGTTTTGTGCCACTATATACCCTAGCACTTAGTGCTCTCTGAAACATAGGAGGCATCAAAAATGTGTAATAGCACCATCTAGTCAAATGGATCCTTCTTGATATTTACTTTTTTAAATTAGGGACATAGTTTATGACTTCTATAAATAATCCAAAATATGTACTGTTTAATTTATACTCAAACTAAGCAATGTTTTTACTTGGTTCAGTTTTTCAGAATTAATGAAGAAACTATAGAAATTACATGGAAAATAATAACCTCATGAGATTCCATTGAGGTCAGAACAAGAAAAACAGATAAATCATAACATATGTTATATACTAGCTCTAAAAAAAGAGCTTCTCAGTGAAGGGAAGATACAAAAAGCTTCCAAGATAGAGCACAGAATCTCCTTCTATATTGATTTTTTTTTAAAGAAATACTTGTTTGATTTAGAACATTCATGGGAGGATGTATGTAATTTTAGGAGATAATACAATAATAATTTAAGCCCTTAATTTTGTGATGCCCAAATATAAACTAAAGTTATGAGGTTTGTTATTTCCTTGTTACATCTTGGTCATTTCATATTCCTTAAGAATCCTTTGTTTAGAAATAGTGATGCTCTTTGGTTGAATCCAAACACATTTATGTATGAAGCTGCCACAAAAACATACTTACCTTTATTTTTAACCTGACAGAAAAATTACATGAAAGAAGGCATGAAATACTGGCTAGACACTCAGGTACTTTTCCTCTTTCTGTGAAATACACAGGAATAGGAAAAACACTAAGATAATCAAGTAATTAACCAAGGTGTGCTGGCAACTCTTCAAAGTCAAGCCACTGATGTATTATTCGGATTACTCTCAGAGAAAGTGTGCAAAATTTCTGACTAGTAGAGGACATGCTATTCTACTTCCACTTACATAAATGAGAAGAAAAATACTGCTAAATCTATAAATTATAGAATTGATGGTCTTGTGACATTAAATAATGCTGGATACAGATTTGTTACTACACTTCTCTTATAAACATGTTTGTGTAAACATCTAAAACCATATATAGCTATAAATAAATTAGATTAGAAAACAAACAAAACCAAAATATCAAAAACTTGAGATCAACATGTGCTAATTAATTTCTATGGATATAATTTAAGAAAAATAATGCCTGTTACCTTCCTACTATAAGTTCAAAGAATAAAAGCGGAAGTGTAAAACCTGTTTTTTTTTTTTTAAAGGAAAAGGTACTGATGGGAAACAAGAAAAATTGTAAAGTGGAATGACAAGGCAACCTGGTCAATATGTGGTAATTATTTAAAAATACCTTTTCGTCTTTAGATACTATAATGTCTATATAGGAAATAATAAACTATTTGCTATTCATTTATAAAGATTTTCCTACACCTGTTACCAGGGGGTTAACGGGGACATCAATCACCTAGGTAAGTTTATAACAATTTTCTTACCTGGTGTAATGGGGCTACATACATGGAATTTACATGCAACAATATATATGTTTATAAATTTATGAACTTTTGCAAAATAATTTGAAATTGGTTTGAAATTTAATATTATTTATAACTTACACATTTTTTTTTGGTTGTGATGGTGATGGCGTTTTTGATGGTCTTCCTCGTCCTTTCTGTGGTGTGGATTGTGTGGATTCAACTGCACTAGTTTCAGGAGATTCTGTTCTGCTTTGGGGAAGACCCAAATGTGGATAGCATCAAATTATGACATATAATATAGTAACTAAATATATGTAGTTTAGAGTTACACATACTTACCTTTGCTGTGCTCTCCTTGATGCTCGGTGCTGTTTGCTTTTTGATTTCTGTTCTGTATTTCCACTTTGTCTTTCTTCTTCTTCCTCTTCCTCTGCTGCTGGAGGTCCAGATTTTTTTTTGCTTCCTTTTTTAGAGGTTTTCATTGTTGGCTCCTCTTTTGGTGTACCTCCACCAAGAGGTTTTGGTGGACGGCCTCTTTTACCCTTTTTTGGTGGACTGTTCTGTTCATCTTCATTTTCTAATATATCTTCTTTAAGCCTCTTTTCCTCAGGCCACTGCTGTTCATCCGATTCTGAAGCTGTGTGGCCTCTTTTCCGACCTCTCTGGCTGCCTTTCGGTTTCTGTTCCTGCACCAACTTAGTCAGGTCATCCACACCTAATTTCTCCTCTGGGTCTGTGACGGGTGTTTTTTTACGGCTTCTAGGCTTCTCCAATTCAGACTAAGGGGGGGGAGGGAATACCACAATTTATATTTATAAAATTGTTAATGTGCATATTTTCAAGAACAAATTATCCATATTTGTCATAAACATGTACCTAACTGAAGTATACAGTTCTTAGATACATCAGAATCATAACTATTTACTTGCTTTCGTTAATAGTTTTTAATTTAAAAAAATTCTCTGGAGTAAGAAGGTAAATTTTCATTCTTACTTTTAAGCTAGTGCCTTAAAAAGAAACCTCTCAAGGTAAGTATCTTATTAAGTTATAAATTTTAGTGCAAAGCTATTTCATTAAAAAGAACATTCTAAATTCAATGCTTGGTCCTAAAGGAAAACTATACTAAAGTATGTTTTGATAGTCAATTTAAGTAATTCTTACTTTACACCACACAGTACGTAAGACATAAAATGTCAACTATGTTATATATTATGCTTACAACATCATAAAAGAACTATTTTTATTTTGCAAATGGAAGTTACAAGATATAAAAGTTAAAAATATTCTTGATTTTGTATCCTGAGACTTTACTAAATTCATTGATCAGTTCCAGGAGTTTCTTGGTTGAATCCTTGGGGTTTTCAGATAACATACCTATAATCAGCAACAGTGAAAAGTTGATCTCTTCGCGCCCTATTTTGGATACCCTTTGATTCATTTTCCTGTCTGATTGCTGTAGCCAGACTTCCAGCACTATGTTGAACAGAAGTGGAGATAGTGGGCAGCCTTGTCCTGGTTCCAGTTCTAAGTGGGAGATTTTCAATCTTTCCCATTCAGTATGATGTTGGCTATGGGTCTGTCATATATGGCTTGTATCATTTTTAGGTATGTCCCTTCTATGCCTATTTTCTTAAGTGTTCGTATCATGAAAGGGTGTTGAATTTTGTCAAAAGCTTTTTCTGCATCTATTGAAAGAATCATGTGGCTTTGTTTTTGCTTCTGTTGATGTGGTGAATTGCTTTATAGATTTACGTATGTTGAACCATCCCTGCATCCCTGGGTGAGCCACTTGGTCGTGGTGGATTATTTTTTGATAAGTGTCTGGTTCGGTTAGCTAAGATTTTGTTGAAAATTTTTGCATCTATATTCTTAGGGATATTGGTCTGTAGTTTTCTTTTTTGTTGCATCCTTTCCTGGTTTTGTATCAGAGTAATATTCGCTTCATAAAAGGTGTCGGGGAGTTTCCGTTCTTCTCGATGTTGTGGATAGTTTCTGCAAGATGGTCTAGTTCTCTTTGTAAGTATGGTAACATGTGTGAAGCCATCTGACCAGGACTTTTCTTTAGGGAGATTTTAATTGCTGTTTCTATTTCAGCTGTGTGATTGGTCTGTTCAGGGATCTACTTCTTCCTGGTTGAGCCTAGGGAGGCTGTTGGTTTCTAGAATTTGTCCATTTCCTCCACATTTTCCAGTTTGTGTTGCATAAAGATTTTTGTAGTATTCATAAATTGTATCTTGTCATCTTTTGGGATCAGTTGTGATATCTCTTTTTTATTCCTTGATGGAGTTATTAGAGATTTCTCTTTTCTGCTTTTCGTTAGCTTAGCCAATGGTGTGTCAATTTGTTTATTTTTCAAAGAACCAACTTTTTGTTTTATTAATCTCCTGAATAGCTTTCCTGTTTTCAATTTCTTTAGTTCTGATTTGATCTTGTTGATTTCACTTCTTCTGCTGGGTTTGGGGTTGTCTGTTCTTCTTTTCCAGCTCTTTGAGTCGTTCCATTAGATTGTCATTTGTGATCTTCTTGTCTTTGGTTATAGGCATTTTATGGAGATAAAACTTTCCTCTCAGAAATGCTTTAGCTGTGTCCCAGAGGAGTTGAAAACTTTGTCTCTCCATTGTCGTTTTCTCATAAAGTTTTTTATTTCCAGTCTTGATTTCTTCATTTACGGTAAATCATTTAGTAGGAGTTGTTTAATTTCCCCGTTTTTGTGTAGAAATGTGAGTTTCTGTTAGGGTTGATTCTAGTTTTATTCCACTGTGATCTGAGAAGTACATGGAATGATTCTATTTTTAATTTCTTGAGATTTTCTTTGTGCCCTAGGATATGGTCAATCTTAGAGAATGTCCGTGAGCTGATGAGAAGAACGTATATTCAGTGATTTGGGTAGAATGTTCTGTAGATGTCTGTCAGACCAATGTTCTAGAGTTTTGTTTAAGTCCATTATTTCCCTTTATTAAATTTTCTGTTTGGAGATCTGTCTCGTGCCGTCAGTGGGGTGTTGAATCTCCGGCGAATTATGGAGTTGCTATTAATCATTTGCTTAGCTCCAGTAAATGGTTGCTTATGAATCTGGGTGCACCTAAGTTGGGTTTTTTGGGCTCCAATATATATTTAACTTGTTTCTCTTCTTGTTGGACTGTGCCCTTCACCATTATATATGAACCTCCTTTGTCCTTTTACTACTTGTTGGTTAAAACTACAATCCCGTCCGATTAGAACGCCACACCAGCCTTCTTTTGGCTTCTATTTGCTGGGAATATTGTTCCACCCTTTTATTTTAGTCTATATGATCCTTGCAGGTTAAGACTTGTTTTCCTGCAGACAGCATATACTGCTGTAAATTTTCTTACCACTTCAGCCAGCCTATGTCTCTTGAGTGGAGAGTTAAGCCATTCCACATTTATGTGATGAGAACTGATAGGTAAGGTAGATTACTGATCATTCTGTTGGATTGGATGTTGTTTAAGTAAAGTCTCAGGATACAAATCATACACGAAATCAAGAGCATTCATATTACGCCAACAACCAATCTAATTAGAAAATCAAATCCAATTCTTCACAACATAGCAACAAAGAAATTAAAAGTACTAGAATATATTTAAAAGAGGTAAAAGACCTCTACAGGGGAAGAATGAGACACTGAGGAAGAAATCAGCAGAGGATGTAACACAGATGGGAAATCCTACCATGCTCGTGGATCGGCAGACTCAATTCATAAAAGTCTATACTCACCCAAACTGGATCTACAGATTCAATGCAATACCATTAAATCCCATCAGCATTCTTCACAGATTATATGAAAAATAATTTACGCTTCGTAAGGCTAACCAAAGAAGGACCCCGTATCAAGAGAAATTTCTAGGCACAAAAACAAAATGGGAGGATTATAGCAGATTCAAAACTCTACTACCAAACGCTGTAGTATTAAAACCTAATGTAATTTGCACAAAACAGGACTATTTGAACAGTGGCAACAGCCATGCTGGAATCCTGATATACAAACCATGCCTCATAAAGCCATCCATCTTTGACAAAGCCACAAAAACATATGCTGGGGAAAAGAGTCTCTCCCTTCAATAAATGGTCGCTGGGAAACTGGATAGCCCCTGGTCGAAGGCTAAATACAGGACCCACCCTTCTCTCACAAACATTCACAGCCTGGCTTCAAACCAGCTATAACCATAAGCACAATGCAACTATTCGAACCATCAGAAAGGACAGTTGGCACCCTCTCACTCCCCGCCACCATACCTGCAGAGTTTTATGAAAAGTCCAAGGACTCCGCACGCCATACCCCCCTACTGAGCCGCTCGCTCCTACCAGCTTCTGCCCAGCACGCAATAACGTCTGAAAGTAACAGCTCCGTCGCGGACGCAAACCTATATTACTACGCTCTCATGATCCCACGATCCGGGACTAGATCACACTCATCTTAGCAACAATCCGACTTCGCAGCACATCACACTAGCCTTACCGCTGCCCCCGGCCTCATGCCCACTTTTTCCTACCAGCAGAACCAGAAATGGACCAAAAACCATCGAGACTGCTCCTCCTCTACTCTCCCGGACCATGCCATCAAACACCAATGCACTATCCCTCTTTCCACCAGTGCGACATGGACTTATCAAAAAATCTCCAAACATACCTGCTGGCGTGGTTGCGGCGCCGCCGCCGGTCATCCTCTGCCTGGGTGGGCCTGCACCCCATCGTTCCAACTCTGTGGCCAGCCAATATGCGATCCATAACAGCGCTCCAAGTGAATCTCCATTTGAATCCAAGCAATCCCATTGCTGGCTCTACCCAAATGAATCCAGTGGACCAACCTCTACAAAAGCCAAAACCTGCGCTCAGCAGT